GCAAAGACGGCTTCCCACGACCGGACTACCAGACCGCAACTTGTGCAAGCTTGGTCCCCAGCAACTTGAATAAACCGCGCCAAGCAGAACAGAATTTCCGTCTCTTATGCTACACGCTGCATAGTTCGTGGATTTCCAGCAGAACGGCAACCGGTCCACATTTGCATGCATTACGAGGAGTCACACTGCTCTGGCGAGCTTCTGGCTCTGAAAGTTCTGCTTATGGCGCTGAAGATTTGTCTAGTTTACTATTCACTGCGGTCCCAAAGTAATGACCAGGAAGCGAGCGCAGAGGCTGTTGAGTCGTGTTCATTAGCCAGATTTGGCGTCTCAATCTATCTCGCTTCATCCATCACCTTGAGCGTCCAACAGGATGCATACAAGGCAGCATCATTTCCAAATACCGGGGAAGAATAGCGGCTTGTAGCGGGAACATGGCCATGAGCATGAATCCGCATTGTCAGGTGAGCCATCCTGTGAAGCCCAGCCGTCCGAGGAGGTACCTAGTTACTCGAGGGCCATTCGTGGACTACCAAGTATTGATTGTAATTGTCGGTAACCAATCGCGTGCTTAGCAAGCGGTATCACATCCCGAAAGGGCCTCGCTTCACACGTCTTGCAGGCATGATGTACGCTCACTAATTATGGGCATTTACTGAACGTTGAAAGGATAATTAAGGGCCTATGTTTAGCACCGGTCCTTCCCTGTCACCCTCCGAGCTCTCCGAGCCGGTGGCTTGCCCCGCAGTGTAAGCTAGGACGATGAATGCTGTCATTGGACACACGAGTTCGCTAGAAAAAGCTTGTCATGCAAATTCCAACCCCATCGACATGCACAAGCGACTTGATTCGCGTGGGAGTGCACGCTGACTGGATGCCACAGCCTGTCGTGCTATGCCAACTCGCCGCGTTACTCGAAGGCTCACCCACTCAACCTGCCCCCTCCCGCATAGCTCGGGAAAACACCATCAACCGACCTGCCGTGTTTGGTCGACAATGCGGTCTACGTTTTCGTTCGCCTAGCTACTAGCTGGTCAAGTCCCGCTGTGGAAATGATCACGACAGTGTGGACGCGAATTGGGCCGCCTCGAGTCTGCGTGACTCTGTCCTCAGTGCCCGAACGTTCTGGCTCAATGTGGCAAAAGCGAATAGATTCCAACAACAGCCGCATCTCGCCGTACCACGAGTCACTGTACATTCCTTGGGGTCGACACGAGGGCAGGTACCGACACACCACGTATACGAGACTTGCAGATGCTATGCTATCATCTACATACAGACTTGGCACACTGCAGTCCGGATCTGCACATCTGCACAAGGCCACCAGCAACGTCCGGGCCGGCCACTTATCGCAGCCGCTGCATGTGTTTCCTAGGCCCTTCCTGGATACAGCTCGATAGTGCCCCGCAAGGAGGTTGGGTCAAGAGGGGGATCAAGGCACATGGCCCCAGTCAGCGAAAACTCTCAAGTCGACATGGTAATATGCTTCCAGTACTAAATGGGTCATTTAACTTACTAAAGTCGTTGCGGGGACCAGTAAGCCGATCGATAGCCGTGGAGAGATACGCGCTAAGTACTGCAGTTGGCTTTAGCGCGGCGGGTAAGAGTGCCCCAAAATAGCAAGGAGCACAGAATGACCCCAAATGTCGACATCAGGCTGCACGCCAGAGACTAGTCGTCCAATCAATATGCCGTGTCGACATGCTGCATGGCGTTCGCATCTCCCTCCCGTTGGACGACCACCTGGCCAGATAGCAGGGTCTCCAAGAATAGATTCAGCAATATTTGTGAACAAATGTGCCGTTCGTGGTAGATATAAGGTACTTGTCTCTCACTAATATATCTCCACGCAACAGGTAGACCGCATAATTTGGTTCCGCTCCTTCCTTCACATCAAGCCCGCTGGTCAGGCTTTGAATACCCATCTTTAATTACGAGCAGCCCGGTCGAGCCCTGCCATCCTGTCCCTTACGAATCGTCCCGTCGCGCGTTAGTCGTTATTGCCGCATTGTTTACTGGCTTTCCTCATATACCACAGCTCTGGGTACATCAAGCGTCCATGTCCTCCTCGTCCGCTCCCCCATCCGCTACCAAACAGTCCTCAACCATGGTAGGGACCACAAATGCTGCTAACGCAGCAAAACAACAACAACAACAACAAGCCGCAAAAATGCACCGTCGTTCACGATCAGGTAAGGACCACCCTTCAGATGTGGATGCAGGGATCCCGCGCATGGACAATCGACTAACGGAAGCTTTGCAGGGTGCTTCACATGTCGCCTGCGACGGAAGAAGTGTGATGAAGGAAAACCGTCTTGCCGTGCTTGCAGACACCTTGGTCTCAAGTGCGAATACAAGAGGCCAATGTGGTGGAGTAACAATGAACAAAGGCGGACGCAAAAAGAAGTCATCAAAAACATCATCAAGCGCACCAAACTCAACGAGAAGACAGCACAGAGCGGCGCGATGGGCACCAACACACCACCAAGCCTTTGTCATTCAATGCAAACCGCCGACACATTCTCGGACGGCGTCAGCTGCACCCGGGCACCCTCTGTGGACTCACAAAACTCGCTGGATTACAACTTCAACCCTACTGTTACACCTGACTTTTATAACTCGACAATGCCTCCCCCAATGTTCGCCCCAGCTTTCGCCCATCCAGGACACTACGTGCCCTACGACATTGACATCAAGACCGAGAGCCAAATGTTCATCAACGACATTCCAACCCGTCGCGATTCCACACTATCATCCTACAGTCACTACCAAACCCCACCAGCTGCTGGTAACATCTACCCATCTGATGACTGGATACAGAAAGACTACTTCGAGCGCCGCGAATCCTACATTGAGGAGCCCCTCGAATTCCCCATCTTCGATTACAACACCTGCGGTACCTTCAGCCCATCTCACCAACCGTCCATTCAGGTCGAGGACTGCGATCGCCACCTTCTTAGCCATTTTCTTGAGAACATCATGCCTACAGCCTTCCCGGTCCTCGAGACAAACCAGCCCGGAGCGGCACAACGCGATGTCATCATACCCGCACTTGAGTCTAACAAGGCATACCTGCACTGCTGCATGAGCATATCCGCGTTACATATGAAGACCACCCAGAACCTTGCAGGAGAGCAAATCGACCAGGACATCCAAAGACATCGCGGTGAAACAGTCCAGCAGCTTACTGCGGCGCTCTACAGTGATAGCCAACATGGCCATACTCTCGAGGCCGCGCTTGGTATGATCTTTTTCCAGTGTTCAGTTGGCCGCTTCAACGACGGCCTAATGGATATTCCATGGCATGGCCATTTCGAAGCGGTCCAAAACCTTGTTCACAGGCTCGAGCTGCCTGCACAGATGATTGCGATGAACGGACAAGCACATGCTCAGCCTCCATTCAACATGACACTAGCTTCTTGGATCGACATTCTCGGTGCTACTATGTTGGGCAGGACACCCTCTTTCGCTGACACTTACCGCGAGAAGCTCATCGCCGACGCATCTTCTGGCCTTGCCGAACTCATGGGCTGTGAAGACCGTATCATGTATCTGATTTCGGAGATCGCTTGTCTCGAGGCGCTAAAGAACGAGAACATGGATGTCGTGCAGCTCTGCGCGCACATCAAGCTCCTTGGTGAGCAAATCAGTTTGACTGAGCCCCCTCAGGGATCACTCAACAGCGCCTACACGTCTACCGGCGAAATTCTTCCAAGGCAGCTTCGCCGCAACATGACGGCAGTCTACCGTTTAGCCGCTCGCATCTACTTGTGCAGCCTGGTGCCGGACTTTGACCGCACATCTCCCACGTTCGTCAACCTGGTTAGCGCTCTTTGTAAGGCTATGGAGTATATTCCTGCCGGTCCTGACGGATTCGACCGGTCTCTAGTATGGCCACTTTTGGTAGCTGGCTCAATCTCAGTGCAGCAATCAGGCTTCCGCAGCATGTTTGCGGAGCGCTCCGCCCTCTTGGGAGAAGCTGCAAACTTTGGCTCTTACGGAAGAGTCAAAAACCTCCTTGAAGAGGTGTGGCGTGTCAACGACGACAACCTTGCGAAGGGCAACACACAGAGTGTTCACTGGCGGGACATGATGCGACAGAAGAACTGGGACTTTTTGCTCATCTAAAAAGCCTGGATCTTCTGCTGGTATGCATCCTGGTCTGTTGTCTCTCTTCGCAAACTACATTCTCTCAGTGTCTGATGATGCTCGCCATGCCTCTTCTTGCGATGACCTGAAAAGCATTTTGCTTATTTCTTTGCATATATTTTCTTCACCACGATACCCACTTTTGTAATTCGGATACCATTGGCTCAACGAGAGCAAGGTAGCATTCATAGGGCGGAGTAGCATGGATTGGATGGCGTTGGAAGGGACTTTACGGCTGACGATATCACGGTAGAACTCGGGGTCTACTTGCCCTGGTAGGTCGGAGGTGGAAAGGGGCACAGAAAGTGCAAGGGAAGCTAGCGCAGCACCCAGGCGCCTACATGTACAGTAGAGTTGGATGGGGTTCCAGTGCGAGCGCCCATAGATGGAGGGGAAGGAATGGAGATGAAACAAGCGTATCGCTCACTGTTGCAACGCCTCAATTGTGCATATGTGAAGATGATTGGCTGCCACAGTTGGAGAGGGCAATTCGCATGTCTACTGTAGGTGTGGCGCGACAGTCGCTCGTGCCCGTTGCTGAAGAGATGCCTTTCTAATTTTAGCGAGGAACATGGGGCGGACTGCGAAGCTGCAAGTCGACGCGTACAGCAACAGACGACCAGCACGACGTTTCCAGATCGCCATCCAAGTCGGAACAAGGTAGCGGTGGGTGCATCTAGCCTTTGTGTCGACTGCATCGCGTCTCACGCCGTCGAATACGGGCCCGTACATGACTATCATTTTGCCGTCGCCGTTATTAAGACCTAGACTCGTATTCCGCCCCCACCCATTTGTATAGACGTACCGTCCCGCCTGCATCGCGCTCTCGACGTCCGAACTCCACCTTCCCAATGGCGTCTCCAGCCACGGTTCCCTTCACCTCAGTCGACACCACCACGCGGCAGCCAGCTAAGGATGAGGTCGAGTCGCCGAGCATCTCGAGCACTAATGCGCTTGCCCGCTACGAATACGAGGCGGGCCATGGCAATGCCACAACCGGCACCAAGATCCTGATGGTGGAGTGGGAGGACGACGACACAACGCGGGGAGTGCGGGGAGACTGGCACATATCGTGGGACGGCAGCACGCGTGTTCTGCCCGCCAACGACCAGCCTGCCAGCGACGTGAACCGCATGTATTTCCTGCTGCCCCCGGGTGTCGCAGTACCTACAAGCGTTACACTCACGCTACGACCACAAGACGCTAGTATATCGCCTGTGGTCTGGCATACAAATCCTCTGCCTGCTTTGTTCCCTCCTGAATTAGGAGCATCCGCGCGTGCAGCGGGTAAGAAGGGCGTCCTGCACACTATTTGGGCCAAGAAGAGGCTGCAGGTGCTGCAGAAAGAAATCGAAGCCGAATCGCGGAACAATGTCGAAGGCGTTGGTCTGCTCATGGTGGTGCAAGAAAAGGAATGGATCGAATCGACTTTTGGTGTAAATGCCAAACCAGCTGGTCTCAGCATCTCGCTGGGAGAGGCCACGTTGGCCCCAATGAAGGGCCCAGCTAGTCCACGATCACCAGGCGGAGGGCGGCTGATGGACAAGCTGGCTGGTCTGCGACTAGGTACGAGCGACAAAGACCTCACACCCACCAGCAGCGCGCCAGGCTTCTCAAATCCTCTATCGCCCGAGTCATCGGATATCGCTATTAGTTCATTTTCCGTGTTCAAAGGAGCAAATCCATCGGCACTTGCTGCGAAACCTCCACAGCAACCACAGTCTCAACCAGCCGCGCCGCCTCGCAAGGTCGCTGCACAAGCCCCTCCGCACTTCATTACAGAACAGCAAGGCGCTGGTATGATGGGCTCTTTGAACGCTCTATCCAGCCCTGCGCCTGTCTTTCAATCGCGAGGCTCATCTGGACCTGCAGACGAGGACGACAAGGACGATGGGCTCTTCGCCCTACCTATAAGTCCGAGAAGTCCTGAGGTGGGGAAAAGTCCGTTTTCATTTGCGGTAAATGAGACAGCCCCTTTCTTGAAAGAGGAGAGTGCTGTTTGATACCGTCGTACATGGGTTCGCTTTTGCGTCAGAGTGTGGTATGGATGCGCTGTGTTAGTCAAAGGGACCATGTAGCCCTACTATGAAAGTGATACCTTGGTGGATTTTTTGCCCCTGCGAGTTTTTATCGTAGTTGGAATCAACAAGAGCGAGATCTACGTTATCACAATTGCATTGATGTGGCATGAAAGCAGTCTGATCAATATTTGGTCAAGAGTGTGCTCAGCCGCCGTTGAAGCACTAGCAGCAATCTCACACATCTCACGAGACGCCTTCACAAAACGATTCTTTTTTGCTCTTGCTCTCGAGTAACTTGCAGATGTGATTGCACGTGTTGGTTGCAGACTAAAGAGATGGTTGCACGTGCTAGGCCAGCCTTACCGACCTTGGAAAGCGCTAGAGTGCATCGCTGACGAAAGTTCCCGACGCGAACTCGGGCGCAACTTCCACGGTACGAGTCGCAAAGCTCTCAACACCTACACCCATCCATCCATCCATCCTCCTCCGTCGCACCCCACACTCCTTCGACCACGAGACACGTACCGCTACCACAAAGTCGACGCGCGACAGAATGTTGACCACCGGACGCGGCAGCATTGCCCAGATCCATTACACTGGAGAAGAAGCTGCGGGTGAGATCAACAAGCTCCTCAGCGCAGTCGTACGTACTATGCCACATGATCGCGAAACTCGTGCTGACCCACGTACAGGTAGAGAACGAAGATGACTTCGAGAGATGGGAGGCGCTCGTCACTCGTGCCTCTGACCTCGAGGGTGGCGTCACCCGCAATTCCAGCCCGTCCGCCATCGAACTCGTGCGCAACGTATACGACTGCTTTCTGACCAAGTTCCCACTGTTCTTCGGATACTGGAAAAAGTATGCTGATCTCGAGTTCTCTATCGGCGGCACCGAGACTGCTGAGATGGTCTACGAGCGTGGCGTCTCGTGCATCACACCCTCAGTAGACCTGTGGGCCAACTACTGTACCTTCAAGATGGACACATCGCACGACAACGACATTATCCGAGAGTAAGTCTTGCCTTTCCTCCCCATCCCCCCTCCCCGATTCCGAGGCTCAATCTCGCCGTAGCCAGCGGGAAGTCGTGCGCATTTTGGCGCTGCGTTTTCAGATATGACACAATCTCGCTGCATACCGTCTGATGCACCTCCTCATTGCCCCATTGTACTATGCCCCACGAAAGAGCGATATGGTACGCTACGAGCCTCAAGTCGATGGCCTTGCCTTCCCCCTCGTTGGCATGATAGGTTACTTTGCAACATCACCCCCCTCCTATCCCTCCCCGTTGCTTGCTTTCGAAATACTGACCTCGCAGTTTGTTCGAGCGCGGTGCCCACTTTGTTGGTCTCGACTTCCAGAGCCACCCATTCTGGGACAAGTATATCGAGTTCGAAGAGCGCATCGGAGAGCCAACCAATGTCTCCAAGATCTACAGCCGCGTGCTACATCTTCCCATCTATCAGTTCGCCCGATACTACGAAAAGTTCTCCGTCCTGCTTAACAACCGACCAGTCGATGAGTTGGTCGATCCCGATACTCTTGAGACGATGAAGAACGCTGTTGAGCTGGAGAACCAGGGACAGCCTGAGAAGCCAGTGCTTGAGGTGGAGCGACAACTGCGTACCAAGATTCACGAGTACTACTACGCCGAATACACAAAGACGCAGCAGGACGTGACGAACCGTTGGACCTTTGAACAAACCATCAAGAGGGCTTACTTCCATGTCACAGAGCTTGAAGATGCGGAGCTCGAAAACTGGCGAAAGTATCTGGAGTACGAGGAGAAGCAAGGCGACTTCGAGCGCACCTCCTTCCTGTACGAGCGCTGTCTTGTTGCTTGCGCGCTCTACGACGAGTTCTGGCTACGATATGCCCGCTGGATGTTCTCGCAGGGCAAAGAGGAGAATGCGAGGATCATCTATATGCGAGCCAGTTGCATATTTGTACCTATCTCGGCCCCTGCAATACGCCTGAACTGGGCTCGCTTCGAAGAAAAGCTTGGTCGTATCTCTGTCGCTCGCGATATCTACTTGTCCATGCTGGACGAGGCCCCCGAGCACACCGAGACCCTCATTGCTCTGGCGGGTGTAGAGCGGCGCCACGAAGGCAACGACGCTGCGGTCCGTCTTTTGGAGGAGCACATTGGCCGTGCAAACAACCACATCGGTGGCATATTGTCTGCCGAGCAGGCCCGTATACTCTGGCAATGCAAGGGCAGTGTCGACGAGGCCCGCCAAGTGTTCAAGGACAAGCACGAACGATTCCCAGACTCGCGCGAGTTCTGGGTCAAGTACCTTGAGTTTGAAGTCGCTCAACCATCGCCCGATCAGGAAGAGGCTCATACTCGGATAAAGGCAGTTCACGAGCTCATGCGCACTAAAGGACGCTTCTCATCAGACGTCTCCAAAGAACTCTCGCACTACTACATGGCTTATCTTCTGGATCGTGGAGGCAAGGGCGCAGCCGAGGAGTACATGCAGCTGGATAAGGATGTCAACGGGTATGTATCATCTGCTAAGAGCGACTCCTCCCAAATCCCTCCCCAGAAGAAACGGAAAAGCCAGCCTCACAACGCAGCAAACAAACGTCAGCGCAAATAGTTGTGCATTAGGTCTCCTCAGCACAAGGCTGCGACGCGAGTTGCGAGTCGTCTCATGACAGCATTCTAGTGTTCATCATACCCCCTTCTTGAACTTTTAGTATTTACCATTTTTCTGCACTACACGACCACTAGCAAAACGTAATACACCACACTTCTTGTCACATTGTTGTGCTTGCTAACATTATGTTTTCGTTACAGTGCAAAGCAGATCGAAGACGTCGCTGCAGCTCCTGTTGCGCCTTCGAAGCCTAGTCACCGAACCCGCTTCTAGGAGTGCAATAGTATCTTGGTACGCACTTCTCCGATTCTCGAACTCATTGATATACTGACGGTGACGCCCAGATGAGGTGTGCTTATCCCCAATTGCTTGAGCCTTTCGCTATGTGCGAATATTGCGCTCCAAAATAATGTCTGATCAGCTGCGCCATGAACCACATCGATGCGAAATGACCTGATGCTATGCCATATCGAGGCAGATGCCCTTCTGAAGGGTATGCTTCAAACCTGGATAGACCCGCGCAGTCCATGCCATTTCATAGGTAAAACACTTTGCACTTTTCCTTTGCTTGTTTTGTTTACACTGTGAAATTTCCGGCGTTGTATTCCTTCTGATAAGATTTCGGTGACACGAGGGGAGATACTTGTAAGAGACGTTGAATTTGCTTGGGTAGCGTCAGATCGCTAGGCTGCTCGTATCGAGTTGCATTTGTACAAAAGATTATCAACAATTTACCAAATATCCAAAATGAAGTTATGCACAACCAAGTTTCATGTGTGCACGTTATCAGTAGTCGAAATCTCATTCACGACTCAATCTACGGGCACTATGAGGCTATGGCACTATAGTTATTCTCACCTTACTTATCTAGACAGCAAATCCACCGCTGTTCTTCTGTCTAGGCTCACCAGCAGCTTCGAACGTTCCATTTGTCAAGCGTCTCAAACCCTGTGCTGTACTTGAACCAGGCGCGACCCAGGTAACATTACTTCCCAGCTCCTTCAAGAAAGCCGTGGTTCCATTGTTGAATCCATACTCAAAGCTCACTTGGGCAGGCACCAACTGATCATGGATTCTTGGTTCAGCTAGCGCCTCTGCCGTTGTCAGCTTTCCATCCAAGATATGGATCAGGTTCTGGATGGTAGCTGTGATGATACGACTGCCGCCCGCAGCACCAATAGCGACGTAAAAAGCGCTCGCGATGGATGACGAGTTTAGATGTTCAACGATTACAGGGGAGATGGATGAAAGAGGGCGTTTTCCAGGGCGAATGAAGTTCGCAGGCGACGGAATGTATCCAAAAGCATTTGTCGTGTTCGGAATACTGAAGTCGTTCATCTCGTTGTTCATGATGACACCAGTTTCTGGGACGACAAGCTTGCTTCCAAAGAGTAGGTTCACGGTTGTCGTTAGTGTGACGGCCATGCCGCTCTTGTCTGCAGTTACAATATGGCTAGTTCCGGGTGTTTCGAGGGATTCGAGACCAGCGGGGTCGTAGTAGGCCACGTCGAAAGTCTTTGTGTCAGAAATCTTGGAGCGGATCTCTTTAGCTGTAGCTTCAGAGAGCATTTGCTCTTGATATGCGTCTATTCCGTCGAGGAACAGAGGGTCGCCTAGTTCAGCGCGCATGCCGTAGGCGAATCTCATACTTTCGTCAAGGCGGTGGGTAGTTAGGTTGATGTTTTCTGGGTTGCCGACTTCGGAATAGCCTTCCATAATCTTAAGTGTGGCGAGGGCGACCTCTCCTCCTGAGGGTGCGCTACAGGCTGTGAGCTTGTAGTCGCGGTAGTTTATGGTAGATGGCTTGCGAATGGCCACAGTATAATTGGAGAGGTCATCGAGGGTCATAGTTCCGTTGGCAGCTTGGAGTGCCCGGATAGTGGCTTCTGCAATAGGACCACTGTAGAATGCATCTGGACCGTCGTTTGCAATGGTCTCGAGTGTGTCGGCATAACGTTTTCGCGTAATGGTCTCGTTGAGCTTGAGCAGACGTCCTTTCGGCGCAAAATCAAGGGCAAACTCGACGTCGTCGACCAAGAAGTTGGACGATGAGGTGGCAGAGGCCATATACTTGACCAGATCTTCGTTCACTCGCCAGCCATTTCTGGCCACCTTTACAGCTGGGGTGAGCACAGTGGCCCATGGCAAGACACCGTAATTTTCGTGAAGATGTTGAAGCCCACGCAATTCACCTGGAACTCCAGAAGCGAGACCGCCATTGATGCTGGCGTCCTCATTGTTCTTGTACATGTCTTCAAATGCAGCGGCTGGTGCTGTCTCGCGGAAGTCGATGAACTCATATGTGCCGTTTGGTGCGCGTACAAGCATGAAACCTCCTCCGCCGATACCTGTGTCTGATTAGCAAGTATCCAGGCGAATG